CTTTCTTTCTTTCTTTCTTTCTTTCTTTCTTTCTTTCTTTCTTTCTTGCAAGTATTACAAATTTCATACCGTGTGGCCCTCATTTTCTGTCCAGAATTTCATTTAAATAATAATAATAATCCAGATTTAAATTTATTGATCCATTTAGGGAGCAAAGGATGGCTGGAACTGTTTTGAAATGGGTTCAAGATGACCCATAATGATCTCATTTAGTTTTTGTCTCTTTTTAAAGAAAAATATCCTGCTGCTTCACAGCATTGTGAAGAGCTGTCTATAGTTCCTTGTAGGAACTCAAAAACAACTGCTGTGCAACTATGCAATCCACCCAGACCCAATATATATATTTTTAAATAATACTTGGTCCTTTAAAGGACCACCAGGATGCTTTAGAGCAGTAGTTGAAAGAAAGACTTGATAAATTGTTCTGCAAAAGCAAACCGTTTTTATCATACCCCTCTCACAAAATAGGTTATGTTCATGTGGTCACTATGGTTTAAGCTTTACTTAAGCCAAATCTTTATGATTAGATTTCTCCATCATCCTCATGTTGTCACCCCTCAGGACCAATCGTCTGAGGTGGCCACATAGAAATGGTAAGTTTAGCCCTGATTTTCAGTGCCTTTCTTGATGAGAGCTGGTTCTCACCCAGTTACAAGCAAACGGTCTGATAGAATAAAACAGCCTAGTACAGAACAAGAGCTATTTGTATCTTCCCCCTCCCCCCTAAGAAAAAATAATATGTTTTACTTCATTACATCAGAGTTAGCAATTTTATGTCTTTGAAAGTTTGCTTTTGTCACTTCTTGTGCAACTGTTTGAGAAAAGAAAAACCAGAAAGTCCAGTTGCCTCTTGAAAAAGCACCTTTGGGATGTTTGAGAGAAACATGACCAAGATCTTTGTTTTCTCTTCTAGGCTCCCAAAGACCAAGTCCTCGTGGAAAGAAATTTGTCGTGGCTTTCATGCAAGACCACCAGAAATACCAACGCAAGCTATCTGACATTAAATACCAGCTGCTGATCACTGGTCATCATCCCTCAACTCTTACCAAAGTGTCAGTAAGCAAGCATATGTTCTGGAGAACACTTGTAATCAGCAAAGGAATGGTATTAACAGTTAATCTCCCAGACACATTTCAGATGAGTGAATCAAATTATTTTGATGGGACTGTGTTCGTTGAAGCTAACAAAGACATTTCAGTCTTTGCCCAGGGTCACAGAGGGTCTTTGGTTGGCACTACTCGTTTGCTCCCGGTCCACCTGCTAGACAGAGTGTATCATGTGGTAACTCCAAATGATAGCAACACAGATGGTTTCAAGGAATTTGCCATTGTAGCTCAGGAAAATGCCACTGATGTTGATATTTCCCTAAAAGGAGATGTGCTATTCAATGGACAGGTTTATCCTGCAGGGAGCAAACTTTCTGTTAATCTTAAGGCATTCCAAGCACTTCAGCTGCAAAGCTCAGATGATTTATCAGGTACCAGAATTGAATCAAAAGAACCCGTGGCTGTCTTCAGTGGACACAGCTGTATTATGAAAAACAACGACTGCAACCAAGTTTTTGAACAGCTGCTGCCCAGTTCAAGCTGGGGTACCTTCTTCATTGTCCCTGAGCTCCCTTTCCAAAACAGGGATGGCATACTGTATATAACAGCTTCTCAAAAGACTTATCTCAAATACCAACATGGGAATGTGCTCAGCTCCCAGACCCTGGTATCTGGAGAAGTCATGCAGTTAAACAAATATTCTTCTGAGCCAGTTTCTATTTCCGCCAGTGCTAGAATCCAGGTGCTTTACTTCTCTACTGGTGGTGAAAGCCAAGGCCATGGACCATTGCTACTCAATATTCCAGCTGTTACAACCTTTTGCAGATCATATGATCTTCCCTACATGAAGCATTTGGATAATTATGCTATCATCATAGCCAAAACCTCCGATCTCAGTGGAATCAGAATACAGTGGAAGTCCTTTGCAAAAAGCCAGTGGAAATCAGTCCCAGACACAGAATACTACTGGACTGAACACAGCTTGGCTAGAGGAGGAGGTATTCTTTCTTCATTGGATTTTCATGTTCCACTTGGGGTCTTCACCCTTGGATTTTCACAGAATGATGGCTATGGCTCACAGGATCATTGTACCTCCCGTAAGTATTGTCAAACTTAATACCTTTCATTTTGTGAGTCTTTCTGATTGTGTGGGTTTGCATTTTTGCTGAAAGGAGCTCTTCCTGAAGGGAACTCTATATCGTATTTGCCTGGACAAGAGCTCTTTTATACCATGTGATTTATAGTTCATTGAAGGATTAAGCCAGTCAAGTGGGATACACATGGGAATAAGCCTTGGAAACTATCCTTAGAGCAGGGGATGTCAAACTTGTGTCATCACAGCTGCGTCACATAATGTATGGGGCTTTTTTCCCCTTCGCTAAACGTGGCCTGCCTTAGAGTGTCACACTTTTCTCAACCTTGGCAACTTTAAGATGTGTGGACTTCAACTCCCAGAATTCCCCAGGCAGCCATGTTAGCTGGGGAATTCTGGGAGTTGAAGTCCACACATCTTAATTGACAAGGTTGAGAAAGCTTGCTTTAGTATCATGGATGGTTATGGCCAGGGATGGGATCTGACTGGTATAACTACCGGTTCTGCGTCGCACGAGTCGCGTGACTGCAATTTACAACCTGCTGAGCTGCCTGGACAGCTGAGCAGTGCTGCGTGCAAGTGCGCAGCAGTTGGAAAAGCCCCCTTTTCCTGCTTTTTCAATCACAGCTGTGTTGCGCAAAGCAGCTGCGGTTGAAAAAGTAGGAAATAAAGGTCAGGTAACAGCCTGGGCGGGCGGGTAGGCCAAAACAGCAGCAGACATAGAACCGGTTCTATGTATGCTCTCTGTCTGCTGCTCTTCAGAACTACCGGTTCTACAGAGGTGGACAGAACTGGTAGACCCCCCCTCCCCCGTTATGGTTCATAACTGTTTGCTTCTTCAATAAGTATTTAAAAGCTTAATATTACTTTCAAGAAATAAGAGGGGATATCAAGTGTAAATATAAGGATATATATGTGTATGTGTGTGTGTGTGTGTGTGTGTATGTATATGTGTATATGGTATTCAGCTTTGTTCGGGTATTTTCCCATGTCATTATAGTTGTGCTTTTAAAGTTGTAGCAACGTTTCGGAAGAATCTCATCTGCCATCATCAGGCTTGTGTATTGGGTTCATCTGTGTGTCAGGCTTTCACAGCTGTTTCTGTTTAAATTTGGTGCTAGCCTACTGCTGTGTTAGAATGTTTTTTTCTTCATCCTGATTGGCTGGGAGTCTTGGTCTGTGTTTATTGGTCTTGGAGTTTGCTACAAGCCCCCAATACATGAATCACAATGTTGCCAGCCAATCAAGACAAAAAAAAAAAAAGCTACAAATCAGACAGAAGATATTAGAAACACCAATCAAGCAGAACACAGCAAACTCCAAGACCAATAAACACAGACCAAACCATTCTAACACAGCACAAGGCCAGCACCAAATTTAAAACAGAAACGGCTGTGAAAGCCTGACACACAGACGAACCCAATACACAAGCCTGATATTGGCAGATGAGATTCTGCCGAAATGTTGCTACAACTTTAAAAGCACAACTATAATGACGTGGGAAAATACATGCTTAATACCATACATATAAATACCCATGAAAACTTAAGAATATCTATCTGTCTATCTATCTGTCTGTCTGTCTGTCTGTCTGTCTGTCTGTCTGTCTGTCTGTCTATCTATCTATCTATCTATCTATCTATCTATCTATCTATCTATCTATCTATCTATCTATGAATATCAATATACAACTACTTGACTAACAACTACTAATTCAGTGACCATTTAAAGTAACAATGGCACTGAATGCATGGTGGTTATGAAATTAGGCCTTCCCAGCACTCCTGTAGCCATGTGATTTGGTTGCTTGTACCTATGCAGCATCCCAATGTGACCAGAGCTACACCTCTATTGCAAGCCTAAAAGAGTTTTCATGATAACATTTGGCAGCCATAGAATTGTTAAGGACAACATTTTTAACTTTTCCCAATTCTGACCCTTGTGTCTTCCAACCTCATGGGTGGATCCCTTTGATTTTTGTTTCCACACTGACTTGCAAGTAGACTAACAAATTTATATCTTCCAGGTTGGTCCTCTGAAAATCTCTATCCTCTGTTTGTCCTTTCTTAGACACATACTTTTATATGCATTGAAGAAAGGATTTCAATATTTAATTCTCATTTTATAATTTGATCTGATGGAAATCAGCTGACTAACTTCAATAACTTCAAACCTTTCTTAAAGTTTCTGAATCTGACAGCATCTAACATTAATAACTGTGGGGTCTTTATGTGACTTGAGGTATGTTTCAAATAAGAAAATAATCTGATCTAAAAAGATTGGGACTTTCTTTTCCAACTTTATGTAGACTCAGCTTTGGGCCGTGCTCAGTATAGTTTTAGAGCAATCAGCTTCAAGCTGGTAATTGCCAGATGTGATTGGAAATTAGAGAGCTGAAACTGTAACATTCTAGAAGGCATCTAGCTGGAAAAAATTGTTGACATGGCTAAGAAAAGAAATTCTATCAGTGACCTGTTTCTTTTGTCTATGGAAATTCTCAGTCATTGAGGTCCTGGTTGTCCCAAAGGTGCTTTTTCAAGAGGCAACTAGACTGTCTTGTTTTTTCTTTGAAGACATTTCGCTTCTCATCCAAGAAGCTTCTTTAGCTCTGACTGGATGGTGGGGAATGGAAGTATTTACATTCCTTGCAGGCAGCTGGTCATTTGCATTCTTTTAGAGAGTCATTGATGCCACCTGGAGGTTTATCTGCATCATCAGGGTTACTTGAGTACTACAAATGGATGTGGAACCTTCTTGGAACTGCTGAAAAGTGTGTGTTATGGAATTGTTCTTCTGTAGGATGTTTTCTACTCTGTGTCCCTTCACTATTGAACACAGGCACAGGCTGTTGGGGATGCAGACAAAACAGCTCATAAATCCTTCTATTCCCCACCATCCAATCAGAGCTGAAGAAGCTTCTTGGATGAGAAGTGAAATGTCTTCAGAGAAAAACAAGGAAGTCCAGTGGTCTATTGAAAAAGCACCTTTGGGACCTATGGGAAAGATTTCTTTTCTTTCATGGATCTTGTTTTCTTCTCCTCTTACTAAGAGATACCCAAGATTGTCTGCCCTCTTTCTTCTCATCTTGGCTAGGCAATTATGATTCCCTATGTCTCTTCTTTCCATTTAGCTATGACCTGTCCAGCTAACAGTCACTATGAAGTCTGCACTGACACTTGCTCCAACCGCTGTGCCAACGTCACAGATACTGAGCCATGTCCAGAGACCTGCATGGAGGGCTGCCAGTGTGATGATGGGTTTTTATTTGATGGCGTTGCTTGCATTCCCAAAGAAAACTGTGGGTGCTTCAGCAACGGACACTATTATCAGGTAACGAATGTTTTGGATTTACTCCTGTACTCTCTGTTGTTGCTTCCTTTACTTACTACATTTATTCATCAAATAATGTTAGATAGCCATCCATCTAGCCACAGGAATTCTGGGTGGCTCACCAAATAAAAACACAATGCAATAAAACAAACGTTTAAAACAAACAACGAATGATAGATAAATTTTGGTGGTGGTTGGTCTTCAGAGTATGTAGAATCATGATCCTCAATTTCTCAGTATCCCTTCATTGTGATTGATGAAATTTTATCAATTTTGAAATCTGAAAGAGATGAAACATAAGGACTATACTGCAACAGATAAATATTTTTATTATCTGAATCTCAGTGTTTGCCTTCCAAATTATCCCATCCGATTCTTTCTTCACTTTGTACTTTGTGACCTTCCCAACTGATAATTTTTCAGGGCTTTCACATTGCAATAGGAATGTGATGGGTGTATTTACTTACATTATTTAGACTCATGCATCAAAGTGATGCAAAATGCTGTGTTTTTAGGAACGACAATTATTTCTTACAAAAGACTTGAAATCCTTTATGGACTTTTTGCTGAAAATGGACAAAGGTGAATTGGTGAACTTGAGGTATACTGATTAAAAGGGGGTTTTCATGGGAAGAAGGAAACCATGATATGTAATTTGGGACAGTGGAAATGATAATTGTAACCATGTTTGTAACTGCTGTAAGAAAGATTGGAAATCACTT